ACATTTGCATTGAGTTGTAGCTTGAATCTGGGGGCCTGGAACGGATTTAACAGCTTTTCAATGTTAAATTTGCTTCTACTTACGAAATTTTCTACTTACAAAATGGCTGCTGGAACAAATTAATTTTGTAAGTAGAGGTACCACTGTACTTGCTTTTTGAATGTTCTTCTTTCAACTAGATTCTGAAGTAGTGGCTCATTAGACAGAGACAGCATTGTATAGTGGTTTGAGTGCTGGATTACAGCTCTGGGGACCAGGGTTCAAATCCGTGCTCTGTCCTGGAAATCACTGGGTGACCATGGGCAAGTCTTACTCTCTCAGCCTCAAAGGGGAGCAAAGGCAACACACTCTGAACAAATCTTGCCAAGAAAATCCTGTAATAGGTTTGCCTTAGGGTCACAATTTGAAGGCACCCATCAACAACAACCATCTCAGTAGAATATATGCTTTGCACAGAGGGTCCAGGTTGAATCCCTGCTGTCATTAGGTATGCCTAGAAATGGAACACGGGGAGCCATTGCCAGTTTGTGTTTACAGTACTGGATTAGATGGACAAATCCTCTTTACTCAGTGTAAAACAGATTCCTAGTCTATTTGAGGAGTTCTAAAGAATGAGTAGTTTGTAGTATTAACAATCTTCAAAAGCCCAGTTCCCAAAGCACTGTTAAAAACATAAAAGTGCAATTTATTCTGATCCACTCATACCAATATGTAGCTTTTTGTTAATGGGCCCGTTCCGCTTCGCAATTATACAATGCAAAATCAGACCAAATCATCTCAATAAGGCTCCACAGGAAACCTATGAATAGCACCATTATTCAAGTATATGCACCAACTACTGAGACAGAACAAGAAGAAATTGATAGATTTTACGAAGGAGTACAGGAAGAAATTTAACAATACACCAACACAGAATGTCAAGCTGAAAATTGGAGATTGGAACACAAAGTTTGGAAGTAAAGAAGAATTAAAAATGGTAGGCAGATCTGGACTAGGCAAAAGAAATGAAGCAGGTGAGCGTCTGATAGATTTTTGTGAAGCCAACAACCTATTCATTGCAAATACATTTTTCATACAACCAAAGAAAAAGTTATACACATGGACATCACCAGATGGTCAACACAAAAACCAAATAGATTACATAATTGGAAGTAAAAGATGGTGAACTTCCATACGGGTGGCCAAGAGTAGACCAGGTCCTGATTGTGGCACAGATCACGAACTACTCATTTCAAAAATAAAAGTAAAACTCAAGAAGAGAACAAAACCAGTCCTTGTACCAAAATACAATTTAAACAACATTTCCACAGAATTCATTGACGATATAAGGAACAGATCTATAAGAGCTTTGTTCAGGGACATAATAAAAGAAGAATGCATACTAGAATAGGAAGGAGGGATGGGATTCGAATGTATCTGCTTTAATGTTTGTTTTGATGTTTTGAAATGCTGTACGCCGCCCCGATTGCCTAGCAGAGGGGCGGGATATAAATAAAAATTATTATTATTATTATTATTATTATTATTATTATTATTATTATTATTATTAAAGACACTTCCAACAGACAAAAGGAAAGTGAAGAAACCTTGGATGACAGATAAAACGCTACAAGCAATAAAGGAAAAAAGAGAAACAAAACAAAAAGGAGATAGGAATAAACTAAGAACACAACAGTACAACAGCTGGTGTGCAACGATAAGGAAAATTATTACAGCGACAAGTGTAGAGAAATAGAAGACAACAACAAAAAGGGGAGCATGAGAGACTTATTCCACATGATTCAAGAAATCAAGGGAAAGTTCAATCCAAGGACTGGGACACAATCTATGACAATAAAAATAACATAATTCAAGACCAGGAAGGAATGAAAAGACCTTGGATGCAATACACAGAAGAACTATACAAAAGAGATGACAAAATGAAGGACATAAGGAGCAAAGAGCCATATGAAGATGAATCCCAAATTCTAAAAACTAAAATGAACGCTGCAATAAAAGAAATGGGGAAAAAAAATTCCAGGAACAGATGATATACCAATAGAACTGATGCAGTCTACGCTGACAGAACATATGTCAACAAATATGGAAAACAAAATGATGGCCAACACATTGGAAGCGATCAATACACATCCCCAGCTACAAAAAAGAAGACACAAGAGACTGTTGCAAATATAGGACCATAGCACTAATCTCCCATGCAAGCAAAATTATGTTCACAATACTGCAACATAGACTCCAACAACACATGGAAAGAGAGAAATCCCAGAGGTCCACTCAGGGTTCAGGAAAGAAAGAGGCACCAGGAATCACATTGCAAATATACGATGGCTAATGGAGCGTAGCAGTAAGTTCCAAAAGAAAATTATCATGTGCTTTATAGACTATAGCAAAGCCTTTGACTACATATATCATGAAAGGCTATGGAACGCCCTTAAAGACATGGAAGTGCCAACACATCTGATAGTCCTAGTGAGGAATCTGCACTCAGGAAAGAGGCTACTGTTAGAACACAGAGAAACAGAATGGTTCCCAATTGGCAAAGGAGTCAGACAAGGCTGCATCCTTTCACCCTACCTATTCAACCTATATGCAGAACATATTGTAAGGAAAGCAGACTTGGACATGGAAGAGGGAGGAGTGGCAATAGGAGGAAGAAATATCAACAATCTGAGATATGCTGACAACACCATAATACAGTTGTCCCTCCCCATTTGTGGACTTAAGTTCCACAGTCCGCTCTTTGTAGGGAGGGACAACTGCCATCCCTAAAATGGCCGTGTGCGCCTGTGTGTGGCTCCGCACACGCACTACAGACCTGTGCACCATTAGTTTCAATGGGGCTCAAATATTAGCAAGCCACCATTTTCACGGGGGTCTGGAATGGATCCCCGCGAATTGGGAGGGGCAACTGTACTAGCAGAAAACCTCACAGACCTGGAACAACTACTAAGGAAGATCAATGAAGAAAGTGCAAAGGCAGGCTTACTGTTTGACATAAAGAAAATAAAAATAATGACCACAAAGAACTTACACACATTCAAACTAGACAATGAGGAAATAGAAATAGTAAAAAAGTTCTCATATCTGGGATCAAACATTGATCGGAATGGGAACTGCAGCCAGGAAATCAGGAGAAGATTAAGATTGGGGAGGGGGGCTATGAAAGAATTAGAAAAGATCCTAAAATGCAAAGACATACAACTCAGACCAAAAATCAGAATCATACAAGCCATTGTATTCCCTATTACCTTGTATGAACGTGAGAGCTGGACAATCAAGAAAGACGATAGGAGGAAAATCAACGCATTTGAGATAATGTGGTGCTGGGGGACAGTGCTGAAGATTCCATGGACAGCCAGAAGGACAAACAAATAGGACCTAGAACAGATCAAGCCAGAGATATCCCTAGAAGCCAAGATGACAAG